AAGCACAAGGCAAATACTTACAGTCGATACTTGACCGAGCTTGTCAAGCATTAAGCGATCAGACTGCAGCCTCTGCAGGACTCGAAGCTGCCAGAGAAGAGCTCTCCGAACTTGCAATCAAAGTCTCGAATGACTCGAAAGAGATGGCACCATTGGAGTCACAAAAAGTGCTTCCCTTCTCAGAACTCGCTGCTGCTCTAGAAAACCGAAAAGCTCCTACCGTTATGGCTCGAATAGGCGATTGCTCGATGGATAGCTGCCTGACATCAGCTGGAAGCCCGGTTTCCCCTATCGGAGTAGGATCAACTGTCACCGCAATGAAGAGACCGAGACCAGCTTTCAGTCATGGAGATTCGATGGTGCTCGAGGGCAATGCTCGGCACGAGGTCGAATGGATGATGAGTAATATTGGATGAAATGTCCAGTCTTTTTCTTCTTCTAATCTACATTTTTTCTTTTAACTGTTTAGTTCATCCAAATGTGTTGAAATCTTTAACGAAGTATCGTACAATATGTTATGTGGNTGTATATTCTTTGTAATCAGACCCCTTTTTGCTGTTTAGTTGACTTTTTAAAAGTCAACGTTTTTTTAAAACTTATTATGGTCAAATATTTGATCGTTAGGGGGCGAAAGGGTAAATCACAAAAGTTATTTTTGTTAATACAGTCGTTTTCACAATTAATCTATGTTTTTCTTTTTTGATCGAGGGGAGGGGATTGAGGGGCAAAAAGGTACAGTGTAAAATTTAGTCGGTTTTTAAGGTCATTTGCACAATTAACCTACGGGAGGGGGTGGAGGGCAAAAGAGTAAATCACATAAGTTATTCTGTTATTATGGTCATTTGCATAGTTAACATGTGTGACTTCTTTTCTCACTAAGGTTCTAGGGGCAAAATGGTAAAGTGCAAAAAGTTATTCTCGTTGGAGGAGGGTTGAGGGGTAAAAGAGTAAAGTAAGAAGTTTTTCTATTGTTCTAGGTGTTTCTTTTCTGAAAAGGGGTTGAGGGCAAAATGGTAAAACACAAAAGTTATTCGGTTGTCAAGGTCATCTGTATAACAAATGTATGTGTTTTCTCTTCTCATTGGGGGTCGAGGGGCAAAATGGTGGTAAAGTGCAAAAGCTAACCTTGTCTTTATGATTATTTGTACAATTAACCTATGTTTTTCTTTTCTCTCGACGATTGAGAGGCAAAACGGTAAAACACAAAAAGTTATTCTATTGATAAGGTCATTCACATAATTAACCTATGTGTTTT